GCTCTGTGCTTCACTTTTCTCATGGACAAACTTGAGTGGTGTTGATGAAGAAGAGCAGCTCGAGCTTCATTTAAACAGGTGAGACATTTAAAGTTTGTATAAAGTGAGTTGAGTTTGATGTTGTTCTATTACTGTTTTTACTGCACTAAAGTTAGAATAAAATACACAAACACTGAATGAGTCAGTGTGAGGAGGAGGGACGACTCGAGTCTGAATAAACCTGATCCTTTCTGTGCTAAAAGTCTCACACAAATGTGATTATTACAGGAAAGATACAGTTGGGAGGGAATTTGTGAACTATCATGAGGGTTGTGCTCTTTTGGAAAAGTTCTTGATATTTGGCAGGGTGTTAAGTTTGGGCCTAAGGTTTATAAAAATCCATGGATACAAGTTGGGGTGCCCCCTAGTGGCCAGTGTACATAACATCCAAAATGGCCACACCAAACAAAGAAAAGGTTGTATTCCACCTTCCTTTAGTCTTAAATTGTTGTATAATGATATTTTTTCTACTTGACTTGACAAAAGGAATGTCATTTTAATACTAACTTCCTTTTTTAAGACCAATTCTCTGAAATGAAAAAAAAACCATACTGTATAAAGATAATATCTGTATTTATAATAACACATAATATATATATATATATATATATATATATATATATATATATATATATATATATATATATATATATATATATATATATATATATATATATATATATATATGTTTATTATAATAGTTTCATATGTTTATTGTCTGGACCTTGTTCTTCCTTTGAGCTGCTTCTTAGGACTTGTCTGACTCTTTGCAGGTATTTGGCCGTAGTCACTTTCCTTGTTGCCTCTTCAAGGAGCCATTTGCTTGTGGGACACCAAGGTACTTGTAACTGTCCTCAACATCTGCTGTTGTTCCCTCTGTGTGTTCGATCTTCTCTCTCTTTGTACATTTCTTGAGCCTGAATGACATTCTAGTGTCTGTGCTGTAGATCCTGCTGTAGTCCCTGTGGGACTGGGTCTGTGGGGCAGGACGAGGGTTTCATTTCTTAACTTTCCCCGTGAGCACAGACAGAGACACAGGTTCAAACTGACTAAAAACAGCACTGTGCAGTTAGGCCAATGCAAAAGCAGACACAAGTGAAGACATACTGGCTCTAATAGCAGCAAACTTATTGTTAAAGAATAAAAGGAAATGTTCACACATCTCACATGACATTTCTAAAGTGTGGGGTCACACAGTGAACCAAATGTTTTATAATACTATTATAATATTAAACTAGTCTATAATATTTGATACAGTCTCCAGCAGTCCTGAATAATCTGGAAAGCTACGTCCAAGTGAACAATTTCCCCCCTTGATGGATTCAACATTTATATTAATCTCACTGTGTATGTAATGGTAATGTAATGTTCACTTTGTTTACTCAATCTTATTATAATCAATGTATTAATAGGTGCACTTAAACAATTCTGTTTCTGAGTATTGCAGATTTCATGAGTTGCAGAAGGTCATAAAAGTCATATCCACTCAATAACAGGAAACATCTTGGGCGACCATTGCTCAAGGAAGATAAAATAAGGAAGGGCAGACTGACCTTAACTCTGACATGAACACACTGACCTGAAGTGTTATTTTTGTGTTTTGAAAACATAATGGGTATGTAAGCAAAAGGGAACTGCTCATGTTGTAATGTTTTTCATGTTCCCCCTCCCGCTCTGAGATGAGTAGTTCCCATGTAACTAGGGCTCCTAATACTGAATAAGAGACTTTAGAGGGTATTGGGTGAACGGCAAGTTACATGTAACTAAAGTTCTTCTCTCGGTTACTCCCTCCACGCGTGTAAAAGATATTAATCTCTTGTCTTCTCTCTTGTCAGTGAATATTGAGTATAGGTGTAAAGGTGAACCTATCAACTTGGTCCTTTGTTCGAGCCGGATCCCAATAGACCTGAGGACTCCAGCGGAGTGGTAGACCCAGGAAAGACTGTGCACAGCTTTGAAGACCTTTTCCGGGACTGGCTCTATGGCTTGGTTGGGGTCTGATGGTTGACGGGTTACCGAGAGAAAGAGACAACAGTGAGTAGGTCTTACTTTAAAAAGAACGGTGTGACTGAGGGTCATGCGCGTAGAGAAACCCTAATTATCCTAGGCTCCAATTAGGTACAATTAAAGGGACGCGGAGTCCCGTTATCGGGTAAAATAGTGATATTTTACTGGCAGATACAAAAGCCCGTGGTAGGAGAGCAGACTCCTAAAAAACTGTGACAGTAAGAAACGCAAGAAAAAGAAAAAGTGTGTGTGTGTGAAGTGTAAGTGGAGATTCTAAGCCACTAGGTGAAGAGTCTCATACCAATAAGGTTGGAATTTTTTTTGTGGTGAATTTCTGTGGATGCAGAGGCAAGATTCCTCTACCTACACTGCTAGGTTGAAGTGAGGAATACCACATTAATCACCGCACCAACCTACCACATCCCAGCTATAGAGACCTCCCTAGGAGTGGGACAGCTGGACTAAATTGAGTAAATAAAATGGGAAATAAAACTACAAAGTCGACTCCAAAAGATAAACTGCAGATAAAAGACTGGAAAGCCGTGCACGCAAAATATCCCGAAAAATGTACTAAATTAGATTTGTGGATAACAAAGTATAAGTTTGAGGGTGAGTTAAAATCTTAAAAAATAATTGAACTCCAATGTCAAATACAAGAAAAATGTAAAAATAAAGAAGGAGAAATGTGTAAACATGGTTACTATCATTTAGAGAAATGGCTAGACTTGGCAATGGCAAGAGAAAAGGGCCATACAGAAGCTAAACGGAGACAACAAATGATGCTTAGTGCAAAAGAGGAGGAGGATTTGGCTACTGTAGCGGCAGCGCCAGTAGAGCAACCAGTACAGCAGCCTCCGGTACTGCAGCCTCCGGAGGGCTTAGGAGCAGCACAGGGAGAAGAAGAAGACCCTCCCCCATATAGAACATACCCAGAGCTGCCTACTTACGATGGGGACGTAGGGCACGGCCTGGGAGCAAAAACCAGACACCAGACCAGAAGTAAGGGTATAATAATTGAATACAGCAAAGAGATGGGTGCATATCCTATAACTATTACTAAAAAGGTCAGAGAAACAGTGCAAGTACAGGATCCAGGGTTCATTACTCCCACTGCCCCGACGATGCCAGAGACCACACACAGAACAGCAGAATTGGACAGGGAGGAGAAATTAGAACAGGTGACAGACTCCTACCCTATGATCCAAGTTGCTAATCCAAGAGGAGGACAAGTAATTGACCTTAATAATCCAGGAGCAGGAAATCACCCAGAAACTATTTTGGTACATAGGCCTTGGACAGACAGTGACATAGATGATGCATTAAAGGGGATTGTTCCACCAAATGAGGATGTCACTGAATTTTTGGAAGCTATGGACCAACTGAGAAGCTCATATAATTTAAATGGGCAGGAGATAGAAAGGGTGTATAGAAAAGCTTTAGGACATCATTGGGCATCGGTTAAGGGGGACTGGACCTACATGACTGGTGACGCGCCAAACCAAGTGATAATGCCACATAATGAGGCCCAGCTTCTAATAAGGTTGGAGCGCTTAAGAGAAAGAATCCAGAACAGGTTTGCTAGGAGAGCAAATTATATGGAGATTAATAGAACTAAGCAAAGAGATGATGAAAGTTTTGAAGAATTTAGACATAGACTAACAAAGGTATTTAAAGTGCATAGCGGACTTCAGGATGTAGAAGGAGATGATAATTGTGCATACAGACAGCAGTTAAAAAACGCGCTGCATGCCAACACTGTCATTGGGATTAGAAATTGGATTGACAAACATTATATAAATTTTGCAACAGGCACATTGGATCAATACATTGATAATGCAATGCATGCTGATAAAGTGATAAGAAATAAGCAGAAAAAGGAGAAGGAGAGTAAGATTTTCACCCTGGAGGGCGCACAAATATTTTACAGTGAGAACAGGGGAAGAAATCAGAGAGGGAGGAACAGAGGTAGGGGGAGAGGCAGAGGAGGATATGTGTATCAAAGACCAAACCCTACTACTGTTGATAACCCAGAGGACAGAGACAGATGCTGGGTATGTGGGAAGATAGGTCACTGGAAGAGACAGTGCCCAGAGTGGAGAGGATATCAGACAAAAGGACAGGATTATGACAAATCACAGGGGACGGCAGCATGACTAGGCCGGGAGCCGGGGGGTTACTGGGTGGACGACGATGACGACACACCAGACCTATTTCCGGACCCAGGGGACTATGACTGGACCGAAGAAGATTTGGTAATGGCGAATAAACAGGCTTATGACAAAGATAAAGAGGTGGAAGGAGAAATACAGGTTGATTTACAGGCTGCATTAGGGCATGGACATGCTCTACCAAATATTACACTGATATTGAATGGAGTACAAACTTCTTTTTTGTGTGATACTGGCGCCTGTAAAACCACAATAAATGCAAAAATTCCACACATGGTGAAAAGTAAGGAGACAGTGACAGTGAGGGCGGCAAACGGAGAGGTCACTCATGTTTCATTGACGCAACCAGTAACTATAACAGACCCTAAAGGAAAGTCAATTAGACTAGCTGTACTATATTTCCCTGAATGCCCACTAAACCTGTTGGGCCGTGATGCATTGGCAGCTCTAGGATTAGTCCTAATTCCAGATGATGCAGGAAACATTCAGGTGAGAAGAATGCAAGAAATACGAACAAAAGACGTGCATGTGATACAAGGCCGTAAACAGCCCAGGTACTGGTACGGACTCTCATTATCTAATAATGACGCAGGGAGAACAGCATCAGCTTTAGTACAGGAAGCAAAAAATTCCGTTCCACAGTACCAAAGTGTAATGCCTGAAGATGCTTTACACGTGACGACCTGGTTCAAAAAGACACCAGGACCTGATCCAATTTATTTTCAAAACTTGCAAAGGGCAGGACCTGTAAAAGCTACCATAGCATACATTTATTCAGACTCATTTAATGTTGCTGCAGCACATGTGGTGATACACTGGAAAAATGAGGAGCAGAAACATTTATATAAGAACATTAATCCACCACATATTTCCCTAATAAAACCAGTTGAATGGGAATGGGAAAGTGTAGGAGATTTTATCAGAGAAAACCTACAATGCAAAGATTGGATTACTACTGGACCCACTACAGAGACTGGCTGCCACAATTGGGTGCGGAAGTCCCTGTACTGGGCAGTGACATTGACTCCATTTCAAAAAATACAACATCCTGATGACGAAGAACAACAGTTTCCCTGATATGTGCTAGAACTTACACAAAGAGACGAGGACCTGCTAAGTAAAGTACCGGAGTGCCTTTGGTCAAAGGGACCGTCTGATGTAGGGTTAATTAAAGGAGTAGCACCTGTCAAAATTAGGCCCAAATCTGAATATAGACCCTGTATAAGACAATATAAATTAAAACCCGATGCAATAGAAGGCATTAGGCCAGAAATTGAGAGCTTAAAAGAAGCAGGTGTGATAGTGGACTGTGAGGACTCACCATGTAACAGCCCAATATTCCCAGTGCAGAAACAAGCTCCCTCTACAGGTTGGAGAATGGTACAGGATTTACAAGCAGTAAACGAAGCAGTAATTCAACGAGCCCCTTGTGTGCCAGATCCACACACATTATTAAATTCACTAAGATCAGATGCCAAGGTATTTACTGTAGTTGACATTAGTAATGCATTTTTCTCTGTTCCCATTGACAAAGACAGTCAGTTTTGGTTTGCTTTTACGTTTGAAGGACGTAGATATACGATGACACGTCTTGGGCAGGGATATTGTGAAAGTCCAACAATATATTCTCAAGTTATGTCAACAAATTTGGCTAAGTTTAATCCGCCAAAAGGAAGCCAAATTCTCTTGTACGTAGATGATATACTTTTGGCCGCAGCCGACAGAGAATCATGTGAAATTGATACAATTGCTTTGTTGACATTCCTTGCAGAAAATGGTCACAAAGTAAGTAAAAACAAACTTCAATTCTGCCAAGACACTATCAAATACTTAGGACACTGTTTAAATGCAACAGGTCGTACGATCATTGCAGGTCGTAAGGAAGCAATATTAAATGCACCAAAACCACTAACAAAGAAGCAAATGATGTCTTTTTTAGGGTTAACTAATTACTGTAGACAGTGGATTGCCAACTACGCTGAAATAACACATCCTTTGAGCAAAATGATGTATGATGAACCAATAAACATGAATGACACTCTAAAATGGACGGAGGAAAGTGAAAAGGCTTTCATCGAAGTGAAACAGGTTTTAGTTTCCAGTGCAGCGTTAGCACTTCCTGATTATGATAAGCCTTTTGTGCAGATGGTAGATTGTAAAGGACATTTTATGACTTCCGTCTTAACGCAGACGCATGGGGATAAACTCAGGCCGGTGGCATACTATTCTTCTAAATTAGATAGTGTGGCTTGTGCAATGCCCCCATGTGTTCGTGCTGTATTGGCGGCGTCATTGGCAGTGGAAGCTAGTGCATTGGTAGTGCTTTTTCATACACTAGTGCTCCGGGTTCCACATGCAGTGTCAGCTTTGTTATTACAGACAAATTTTTCCTTCATGTCACCAGCACGACACTTATCCTGTATGTCAAATTTGCTGTCACAGCCTCATTTGACAATAGAAAGATGTACAACTCTAAATCCTGCCACTTTAATTCTCTGCGAGGAAGATGGGGAGCCACATAATTGTAAAGCATTGGCAGAACAAACTACTAAATGTAGAGTGGATTTGTTAGAGACGCCATTGGAGTACCTAGAGGGGTCCCTGATGAATATAAACTAGTTGATCAAGTTGCAACTGGATTTGAAAATCTTCCTGTAATATCAGCCATAATACCAATCACTCCTAATAAAAACGCAGACCGAATTAACTACATCCACTACAACGTCCAGAAGCTTGGAAACTATACTCAAGAAGGGTTAGAAGCAGTGCATGAACAACTCAGTGCCACCTCCCTCATGGCTTTCCAGAATCGCACAGCTGTTGATATGCTCCTATTAGAGAAAGGAGGAGTTTGTGGAATGTTAGGAGCAGGACACACATGTTGCGTTGTCATACCCAACAATACAGCTGCGGATGGAAGCCTGACACGTGCTATAGGTAGCCTGCGAGCTATGAATAGGCGCCTAAAAGAGCAGTCTGGGGTGAGCACAACCTTCTGGGACGACTGGTTGGGTGTGTTTGGTCGTTACCGGGCACTAGCTTCTTCAATTCTGATATCAATCGCAGTATTTGTATCCATCTTGACCTTGTGTGGATGTTGTTGTATTCCCTGTCTCCGTTCATTAATCAATAGGTTAATAACCACTGCCATCGCACCCATCACCGAGGGAAAAGGGGTGCCGATATACCTATTGGAAGGCAGTGATGAAGAGGACCCTGAAGGAGTACTTCCAAACCTATTCCAAGAAACCTCCCAGGTGTAAGAACGAATGAACCTGTAATTAAAAATCCAAAGTGAAGTGATTACAAGGTGATGACACAGTTTCGATAAACAGGAGGGAATGATGGATTCAACATTTATATTAATCTCACTGTGTATGTAATGGTAATGTAATCTTCACTTTGTTTACTCAATCTTATTATAATCAATGTATTAATATGTGCACTTAAACAATTCTGTTTCTGAGTATTGCAGATATTATGAGTTGCAGAAGGTCATAAAAGTCATATCCACTCAATAACAGGAAACATCTTGGGCGACCATTGCTTAAGGAAGATAAAATAAGGAAGGGCAGACTGACCTTAACTCTGACATGAACACACTGACCTGAAGTGTTATTTTTGTGTTTCCTGTAAGCAAAAGGGAACTGCTCATGTTGTAATGTTTTTCATGTTCCCCCTCCCACTCTGAGATGAGTAGTTCCCATGTAACTAGGGCTCCTAATACTGAATAAAAGGCGTGGAGAAACGAGAGGAGACTTTAGAGGGTATTGAGTGAACAGCTAGTTACATGTAACTAAAGTTCTTCTCTCGGTTACTCCCTCCACGCGTGTAAAAGATATTAATCTCTTGTCTTCTCTCTTGTCAGTGAATTTTGAGTATAGGTGTAAAGGTGAACCTATCACCCCTGTTCTCCTCTCTAAGGTACTCACGGCTCACTGTGTGTGAAGCTTCATTGAGCCGTGGCTCTTGTCTGGGTTTGGGACACATGGTTTTCAGTCTTTAAATGAAATTCCTCAGTGTCCACGGACTCACCCGAGTCAACAGATTCTGTAATGATGAATTATAATTGATGAATTTAAGTATCTTGGTGTTACCTTGGACTCCACTTTCACTTTTAAAAAACATGTAAAAAACATATCAAAAATTGTTAATTTTAATATTCACAATTTTAGGCAAATTAGAGCATCATTGCCAGAAAATGCAGCTAGAATGTTTCTCCACAGCAGGATTCTCTCTCATATTGAACACAGCATCACTATCTGGTCACTGACAAACATGACAACCTCCAAAATAATAAAATCACTTTTTTAAAAAGCGTTAAAGATATTTGATAGGAAATCTTTATCGTTTCATCATTGTCTCAGACTACAGAAGTATAATATCTTAAGTTTTGGAAATTTTCTAAAATTTAAACTCTCCTGCTCAGTCTACAAAGTCTTAAATGGAGTCGCTCCAGCAGCTCTGGGTGAGTTCATTAAGTCCAAGTCCAGCTCTAGTGGTCGGGGAACAAGAGCCTCTACCAGAGACGACTGTGCAAAACCCTTTAGATGAACAACTTTCAGTCAACAGGTCTGATCAGTCAAGGAACAGAAATCTGGAACAACATCCAGCTGCTAGAAGAGACTCCACCACATTCAGTTCATTTAAAACTAATCTGAAACGAAGCTTAAAAGAAACCAGATGTGTGATCACTAATGTTCTGCTCCTGTGTAAATGTCAGTGTGTGTGTCATGCTCATGTGTTTGTCTATTGTGATGCGTTTTATGTTCTTATGTTTTATGTGTCTCTGACCTGCAGGACGACAGATGAAAAGTCGCCTTTGGGCTAATTCTGGCGTATTTACAAGTATATGTTCATGAATATGCATTGTCCCTTTTAAATAAATAAAACTAAAAAAAAAACCTAAAAAGATAGAATAGGGAGAATTTAGCAGCAGTTTCCTGCTTTATAGAGAGACTCTGGCGCACAGGACCAGGACTATAGTCAGAGAATACAGCATCCCCAACAAAGACATCGTCCACAGGAAGACCATAAGACAGTACAAGGTCTAAAGTGTGTCTGTGCGTCTGTGTAGGAGCTTGTGTCAAATTAAAACCATCAACTAAATCTAAAAAATCCCTCACCATGGACTTTAAAGGACAACACACACGCACGTTAAAATCACCAACAATTCAAATCCTGTCACACCAAGTCAACATAAAAGCCATAAAATCTGAAAAGTTTTTGATTAAATCTTTGTTGTGCTAAGGTGGTCTGTAAACGACAGCACACAACACTGGCTCAGTCTGTCGTAACTCAAAGCAGCTCACTGCAGCTCGTGGAGCCACGGTGGCTGAGTAGCACTCATGCCTCACAGCAAGAAGGTTCTGGGTTCGATTCCTTGGATCGCCCGGGCCTTTCTGTGTGGAGTTTGCATGTTTCTCCCTGTGTCTGGATGAGTTTCCCCCATCAACCCAAAACACGCTACAGGTCTCCAGGAAGAACAGTTGATAGTCAAAGGTCAGTTAAAAACAATCAATCAATGAACCTGCCCAGGGACGACAGGTGGAAATTAACACTGATGCTACAACCTGATGTACAAAGCATCTCTCCTGTTAAGGTAAATGCAAAAATTGTGCGCTGTCCCTGTCTCAAATAAATAAATAAATAAATACATTTCAAACGAGGCAAAGGAGACTGATGGTAGAATTTTATAATAAAAACAGTTCTTTAAAACAGTGGCAATACTGCCGCCGCAACCAGTGGTTCTGGGGACGCTGATAAAAGTGCAGTTTGGAAGTAAAAGCTCAGAAAAAACTGCAGACTCACCAGTGTTGATCCACATCTCAGTTAAAAACAGTAAATCTAATAAATGCGACGTGAAGAATTCCTGCAAGATGAAAGTCTTGTGTGTGACAGATCTTGCATTTAGAAGTCACAGGTCCTGTAGTCGCTGGAGCTTCCCGACCCAACGGCCAGAGAGAACCAGGGGTCACACCACCTGAAGCCTGGAGTGAAGAGCGGTGGCTCAGGCGCAGCACATAGACATCCTCCTGTTGTCCAACAAGGAGTCCAAAGACTACCAGCCACACGCCGACTGGAACAGGCGTGCGCCTGAAGACAAAGTCGGGGGAACGTGCCAGCCGGGCTTTTAGCTTTACTCGCCGGTCAGCTCGCACTCCTCGGCGTCCTTCCTGGGCATGAAGGAGACAGACAGGAACGTCCACCAGGTAGAAGGAGTCTGACATATTTGCGTTATAAATAGCACAAAGTAAAATTTTCTCTTATCATTAACAACTTGTGGCGACCGTACACCAGCAGAGAGCTGATGGGTCTTATGACAGTCATTAAAAACGTCAGCGTCAGCTCGAGGATGCACGTAAACAATAGTAAAAAAAAACTGCTGTTGGAACTCACACGGCAAGTAAAAGGGCTGAAGAGAAACTGACAAAAGTTCAGTGTCTGGAGTAAAGATCTTCTCTCTTTTCAATAGTTTTACAGTTCCTTTAATTTATGTAGCAACACTTTCAGTCACCAATCGTCTTGTTATTTGTGTCTAGTTATTTCCCTGTTATGATCCAGTGGAGTCTCAAAGCCGCTCAGTGACAGATCCTCTCAGTCTGAGTCGTTGAGTCAGGATTCTGTGAAGAAAAGTAAGCAGGCATTCTTAATCAGATCAGCTCATCGATCTTGTTTCAGGTTGAGTTTGTTCCTCAGCAGGATGGAGGGGAGAGCAGGCAGCCTGCAGCGATCCTGTCTGTTTTTACAGTCCAATAAATATGAACCAAAGACAAGAGTGGAAGGATTAAGAAATAAAATAAGAAGAAATACATTGAAAAAACACATGAATCCTAAATCAGTGAAACCTTTAAATCCATCTTTCATGAACAAATGTGTCCATATTGTTCTAGAATGAAACGTGTGTGTGTTGAGAGTGGACAGGCCACTCACTGCTGCTGTGTTCTGTTTTCTCTCCATCAGATTTCTGTGATTTCACTCTGGATCCAAACTCAGCTCACAGGATCCTCAAAGTGTCCGACAACAACAAGAAGGTGACATGTGACAGAGGAGCAGCCGTATCCAGATCATCAGGACAGATTTGACGTCTGGCCTCAGATTCTGTGTTCCACTGGTCTGACTGGTCTCTGTTACTGGGAGGTCGAGTGGAGTGGAAATGTTTATATATCAGTGTCTGACAGAAGAATCAAAAGGAAAGGAGTTGGTGGTGACTGTGGATTTGGACACAATGATCAGTCCTGGAGTCTGTTCTGTTCTGAAGTTGGTTTCTCTGTTTTTCATAATAACAAACAAACCCTCCTCCCTCAGTCCTGCTCCTCTTCTGGGAGAGTGTCAGTGTTTGTGGACTGTCCTGCTGGTTCTCTGTCCTTCTACACAGTCTCCTCTGACCAACTGACCCACCTCCACACCTTCAACACCACATCCACTCACACTCTGATCCCTGGGTTTAGACTCGGGTGGTCTGAAGACTCCTCGGTGTCTCTGTGTGCTCCGACAGACTCACTCTCCTCACTGTAAAATACTACAACATTTTTCATATGTTTTTACGTCACTGAACAAAAAAAAACAATGTTAATTGTGGAGTTTGAGAGAAAAATCCTGCAGACATGAGCCTCACTTCAGTGTCTGGATGAAGATAAATGTCCAGTGTGACAGATCTGTCTGGGTGTTATATGGGACCAGAACTTTATAAAGTTCTCTCTGTCTCATCTGAAGCTCATGTGTCCTCCACTCAGGGACTAAATCACTTCAGCTCAAAATCAGGTGAAAAAACACAATTCTTTTGTGTAGTTTATTAAGAACAAAAGAAAATTCAATTTTGTCACAGGAGCAAAGTTTTAGATGCACGGTTAGATGGAGACACACGTGAAAAAAAAGTGTTGAAACAGTCTGAAAACTCAAGAAAAAAGACAAAAGTGATTCCTCCCTCTCCTCTCTCTTTCCTCAACTTTCTCTCTCCTGTTTCTCTTCTTCTTCTCTCTTTTCTTTCAGTCCATATTTCATTTGTTCCATTCCTGCTGTTTTTGCTGCTGTGTGGCTGTAAGTGAGGTGGCCTCTCCACAGATCTGACCTGTAACCTGGCCTGGTGGAGTCTCCTGCTTGTTTCCATGGAGATGTGTAACTGTGATGTTGTTCTTAGTTTTACTGCTCAAAAATATCCAGAGGAGCCAAAAACTGTCCTCAAGTAAGAGTCACGTTACTTCAACATAATATTACTCAAGTAGAAGTACAAAGTAGAGGTAAAGTAGAGTAAAAGTACTACTGGAGTCAGAGTGTTGTGGAAATCTTTCCATCATAAATGCTCCATCAGATGTCGACTGTTAAGCGACGTTATCACAACTCTTGATTCTTACGTGTTGTTTTTAGACGTCACATACAAATAAATCAAGTGTGTTGATGTGTGGTTGTTAATCTGAACTGTGATCCAGGTACAAAACTCTGACCTCGTGCTCCTCATATGAGTCTGTTGTTTATGTGGGGGAGTCACCAGGATGCACATTTTAAAAGACATTTCTGACACGTGTTTCCATGGAAATGAGCCCAAAACCCAGGAAAAGCTCAAATATTCCTTTATTGTACCTGTAATTGTAAAACAGTGTTCTTCATGAATCTGCCACACGTCTTTAAAGGTCTTAAATAAGGATCAACCACAGAAAACAAAGACAGTGTCACACAGTGGCCGAGGTGCATTTTGGCCTCTACACTTTAGATCAGTCTGAGCTTGTTCTTCTCCTGATTGTTGAGCCAGTCTTGTGTTGACCTGTTCTCGGATGAGACGAGGTTTTATTGGATGTGTGTGGATCATCCCTGTGCCTTCTGCCCCCGTGGGGTACAAACACTCTGT